TACCCTTCAAGGGGAGATTGTTCTGGTGCTTAATGGGTTGACTGGCCTAACTGCCCATGTGTCCAGTTAAAGGGGCAGTGTCACTGTTCTACTGCGCATCCAAAATATGCGCAAACTTGAAAAACTGTCTGCCAACAATTAATCAAGTTCGGAGTGAAATGCGATATACTATTTATAATCTCTTCGTTATGCAGGACATCCTTGCTTTGTTTTAAAAAATTGAAGGCTGCTGCATCTTTTCTAATCATGTAGCATTAATTTTAAACGTTTCTTTGCACCGTTTATTTTAGCCAATCAGCGCCGTGACACTGCCCCTTTAACTCATTGAGTTACATTGCACCTGGTGCGCCCAGCGCCCTACTGTATTATTTTGTTCTGTCAAAGGCCAGACGATTTTACTTGTCAAAAGGTAAGCTCTGCCACGTAATGGGTTAAACAATATATTTGATCTTGGTATGGTTTATTAAATTTTGATATCATAAGTGATATTTTGAAGTGGAAAGTCATTCAATTACTGGGTAATATCAAAGAATTTGAACGCATGATGTGCCATAGAAATGTATAAATCTATATACTATACCGCAGATCTCTGGATAAAAAAACACCGTCAGGTACTGTTTGAATACTGACCATTATGTAACAAATATATTCCTATATTGCATACAATGTTTACTCAAACTGAAATATTATTTACTGTATTAATATAATATAAATAGACAGTATTTTAACAATTTAAGGGAATGTGTTTGGAAATGTTATAACTTTAATTTTCAATTTGTCTGATACTTAGTCACCTTGCCCTTGGCAGTAATTGAATAATAATTATGGTGTAAATGTTTTCAAACAATGACAGGTAGAAATATTGCTTGCGGCATGGCACAGTAGATTTTCTTCCGGGTCAGTAAAGATGTTGTCAAAGCCATGGGGCTGACCAAAACACAGAAGGCAATAGAAAGAGCTTCCAAAGCAGCAGCTGGAGTTCAGCTGATTGTATTAAAGGGATTGAACAAGGTCTCAGATGTGAATAGAGTATGACAAGCACACATTCACAAAAGTGTGACAGAAGATGAAGTGATGATGGCACAGGATCTGAGGAAGATCAAACCATTTGAGAGAAAGTCAAGTTACGCCAACAAGTGGACTTAATTTGTGTAGACATTCGAATTTGAGTAAACACTATATACAGTATGAGAATATGTTTGTTACATAATGGTGGTATTTACAGTACCTGTCTTTATCCATAGCCGTGTATATAGATTTATAAGAACTGAATGACTTTCCACTTCAAAATATCACTTATGATATCAAAATTTGATAAATCGTACCATGATCAAATATATTATTTAAAATTTAAACGACAAGTCCAATAAAAATCCTTTAAACAGCTGACTTTGATAAAAACTTGTATTTTGTGAAATATTTTTAACGATGATGTGTCCCCGTTATTCCATTGCTAAAAAGGCCAGGTCGACAAAATACTCCAAGATTTTTTGGATTGTTGGTAACCTGGCAATCCAGAAGTTGCCGGGGTCCCTCTACGTGCACCAGAACCTTTAAACACGGGGACCCTGGGTACGAGGTTGTCTCCAGGAGTGCAATTAATGATTTTCGTGATGGCTGGGGGGAGCGGGAAATCAAAACAACAAAATCCAATATGGCGGCGAAATTTAGATAAGTATTTCTAACAAATGTGGACGAATTTAACTGAATTTTGGCACAAGAGTGAGTTTAAGAAACATTGTATGGCAAAAAGAGCCTGTGGAAAATACCTGGAAACAATCTTAAGAAATAATCTTGGCGGGATGCAGCGAAACGTGACTATGTAAGTTTGAAATAGAATTTATGAAGATTTTCTCAGTCTAAAATATGTTGTTTGAGTTTGAATCTTGTGTACTAGTTTAAGTTATGTGCCTTTATGAGTTTATAATCATTTCCCAAGTTTGTTTATACCAAATTGCTTACAAAAGAATTAAAAACTCTTGACAAAATGCAGTTGAAATATAAAGAAAGCGATTTTGTCATGCATATAATACATAAATAATCACACGGGCAAGTCGTGCAATTAATGATTAACACTACTCGTGATATTTTAAAAATGTGCCAAATTGCACTCGCCTCGGCGGCTCGTGCAATTTTGGCACATTTTTCAAATATCACTCGTAGTGTTAATCATTAATTGCACTCCTTCCCGTGTGATTACCTATACTTATTGTATAAAAATATGCGAATATATTTGATATAATACAAAACAATTCAGCGCAAACAGCTGTATTAACCCATTTGAACGTCTCAGTTATTTAATCAATGTTATTCCTTTTTTCAGTAACAACTAAGGGCTGATTACATGAGCCGAGTTGTCCCGCTTTGCCGAGTTGTCCCGCCTAAGCGAGTTGACTTTTGAATTGCGATTACATGCACCGCGCTAACCCGGCTAGCCAGGCTGAAGTAGCTTTAGTTATTAAGATTTGTAATGCTTAACAATTTAATACTCGGTCTTAGAAATCGATTTAAAATTGTGTATTTGTTGTATTTGAGGACTACTTTACCCACTGAATGTTGTTGGTTCAGGTATTTATATGTATAGCGCTGATCCCAAGTCCCATGGCTTATATACTGTTTGTATTCTAACAAAATTGTGTCGCTTCCTATCTAAACCTTGAAAACGTTCATTAATATCATTTTGATGTTATTTGAAGTTTTTTTAACTTATATTTGTATATATAATCGAAATTAAAACAATAAGTGTGGTTTTCATCCCGCTTTGCCGAGCCAACTCGGCAAAAGCGATTACATGGGATGTGTGGGCAATTTCTGTCCCGGCTAAGCGAGTTGACACGGCAAGCTACAGCCGCGGTCCCGGCAAGGCGGGACGAGTCGCTTTGCATGTAATCGAAATGTCAAAATAATAGACAATACATATGGGAAGCGGGTCAACTCGCTTAGCCGGGACAACTCGCCCATGTAATCGGCCCCTTGACAAATTTGCAAGTAATAACTAATGCCATTCTTACACGCCAGGAACTTCGAAGAACAGTCCACTGTGTCTCGGAATTTTCCACACTCAGAAGTAGAAAAGGAACATTTCTACATTATTGCTTACCGTCATTCTCATCTGTCAACATAAAATCTACTGTCTGTCTGTCGAAATCGTTTAGGTTTACCTAACGTTGCGTGATAACAAATTGCGGCTGTAGTAGAAGTAGAACACCATTATTGCAAACACAAAAACCTCGTGCAAAACTATCTAAGACTAGAAAGGGAAATCAGAGAGCAACGAAACATTTCATCGTCTTTGATAACTATATGCTTTGATTGACATGTTTACGCTCAGCGAGTACATTTCTTTCGGTTAGGAGTTTTCCCTGAGATTAATTCGTACATTCTATAAAACGAAACTTTATATAACAGTTTAAGGTAAACAAACCAATGAAAATTATGTCTGTAGTATGACTACTTCTGAATTTTCTAATTTCTTTGAGACGTTTTATTTACAGGAGGTAAAACAAAGCGAACAGAGCGAAGTTCGTATGTCACAATCAGGACTCATGGCATTGAGGCGCGCAGAATTCGAACACACTGGACACACTGGCATTGAATGACTATCCTTGAAGCCAAACTGTACAGTCAAACAATTTCTTTCGAGCGCAAAACCAAAGAATAATGATGAAAGACATATATTTACATAATCAAGCTTCATTCAGTGTAGTGTAAGGTGGTTTTATTTGTTAATATCAACAATTAGGTTTACCGATAAAGTATGCTCGATCTCGACACATTTTCAAATTTTACAAAGTTTGCGCGCTTGTTATTTTTTATTTATTATTATTATTAAAACTTTATTTACACACGGTATTCTCATCAGGATTTAACATGCAACAAAGTAAATTAGATAAATTACAAAAGTAGAACCACGCTAAAGTAAAGAGAAAATATAATACCTGCTTTTCATGAGGGCCGTGTACTAAGCTAATATAAAAATATATACAAGGAAAGTTAAAATAATTTGGCACAGCCCGATCGGAAATTTATCAAGTTATTTGCTTGCGGTAGCCCAATCGGAAGACTGTTCCACAGCACCGCACCACTATAGCTAAAGCTATTCTTGAGATAGTTTGTGCGGGGCTTGGGAACAGCTAGTTTGTTCTCAGTGTTTCTCAGTGAATAAGGATTAACACTGTCACGGTTTACAAACATGGAATGCATGTAATCAGGAGCAAGACCATTTAATGATTTATAGACCATGACAGCTTTTTGAAACTGGCGCTGGGATGATAATTTTTTCCAGCCAAGTTTCTCAATTAAACCATCAGCATTAGTGTCATAACTGGAGAATGTTAGTACTCTCGCTGCACGATTTTGTAGTTTTTGAAGTTTTTCAGCTAGGGTTTTATTGCAATTGTCCCAAACTGTGCAACAGTAATTGAAATATGGCTGAACCAAGGAATTAAAAATTACTTGCAATGTTGCGACTGGGACAAATGATCGAACACGTTTTAAAGCGCCAATACCAGAAGCAATCTTTTTTGTTAATTCATTAATTTGTATATTCCAAGATAGATTCTCATCAAGGTACACTCCGAGAGACTTTGCTTGTAAAACCTTGTCAATAGGAACCCCGTCTATTTCTAAACATGGAACTGATCGAAATGTGGCTATTCTTTGTCGTGAGCCAATTAGCATAAATTCAGTTTTGGATTGATTTAGAGTAAGCTTATTGGCGATAAGCCATTTGTTCACATTTGCAAGGTCATGATTAAGGTGATAATTTATGTCGTCAATATTGTTACTTGCAAATATTAAATTAGTATCATCCGCGTACATTCGTGCTTGGGAGTGCTCAAGGCAATTTGGTAAGTCATTCATATACAGTAAAAATAACAATGGTCCTAAAATAGTCCCCTGTGGAATACCACAGAGTAACGTACGATTGTTAGAAAGGTGACGGCCATTAACATAGCATTTTTGACTGCGGTCACTTAGATAAGACTTAAACCAATTACCCACAGCACCCACAAGACCATACGCATTCAGTTTTGATTCCAAAATTCCATGGTTAACTGTGTCAAACGCTTTCTTAAGATCTAGGAAAACTACAGCATTAACTCGGCCTTGGTCAATGTTGTATGCCCAGTTATTGGTGGACTCAAGAATGTAGGTGACATTTGAATGTAGACATCGAAACCCTGACTGGGTGTTACATAGTAAATTGTTGTCAGTAAGAAAGGCATAGATTTGATCATAAATAATTCGCTCGAAAACCTTCGCTACAACAGGGATTATCGAAATTGGGCGATAATTATTCAAGTCCCTACGCTCACCGTGTTTAAATAATGGAATAACTTTTGAGCATTTCCATTCATCACGAAAGATACCGGTATTAATAGAGCAATTGAAAATTACGGTAAGGGATTCCGACAGTAGGTCAGGACAGTAGCGCAGAAGCTTAGCAGATATTTTATCTAGGCCAGTTGCTTTAGATTTACAGAGTTTGTCCAAAAGTGAACAAACCATTGATGAAGTTGTCGACTTCAACTCAAAAGTATTACCACTAATATGGCAATTGAGATATTCTAAATATGAGCAGTTATTTTCATCACAAGGTATCTTCTCCATAAGCTTAGGTCCAATGCTAGCAAAATAAGTGTTAAACGTCTCTGATAACCCCGTGGGGTCACTAACGGAAGAACCATTTAGTTTAATCTCTTTTACATGTGAATTATTTTGTTTTCTTGAGGTTAATTCATTAATAATACCCCAAGTTTTTTTCACATTACTCTCGTTTTCATGAAAAGCATTCATATAATGGGCTTTCTTCGCAAATTTAATTTCATTGTTCACAGAGTTGCGAGCTTTCTTAAAAGCAGCCCAGTCATAAATATCTTTAGATCGAATAGCCTTGATTTTTAAAATATCTCTTTCATGCATATGTCTTTTTAACTCAGGCGTGATCCAGGGCGACTTAGAAAGTCTTACCCGCCTTGTCCGTAAAGGAGCATGCATTTCCACTACGTTATTAAAGGTCGTTTTCCACACACGCCACATATCATTCGGATTATTATACGCCCTTATGACGTCCCAATTCTGTGAAAAAATATCACTTCGAAAACTTTCAGAGTTAAAATTTTTAAATTTTCGATAATTTACTGTAGAATGGCCTTTATTGTGTAGACCGGTTGAAAGCTTACGGAATGCATAAATTAAGCTGTGATCACTAATACCGACATGAGAAACACCGGAGCAAACAATTTTATCTGGTGTATTGGTGAATATATGATCAATCATAGTTGAGGAAGTTTCAGTAATTCGAGTCGGTCCACTTATCAATTGATGTAAACCATAGAGCTCAGTGATGCCTATTAATGATCTCGAATTACTCTCTAAATCAGGCGACCCGAGATCACAATTTAGGTCACCCAATAAATAGTACTCGACATTTTCAGCATCAAGCATGTCAATAAATGTCTCAAAGTAATTAAATTTATCAACATTCGAATTTGGTGGCCTGTACCATGTCGCAACGAGAAATGGCTTAGAATTTGGTTTTTGAATTTGAATACATAGATTTTCTAAATTATCAATAGACATGTCTTTACGCTGTATGAAATTTACGCTGGAGCGTACATAAAAAACAAACACCTCCATACGTTTTTCCATCTGCACTTCTAAATGCCCAGTCACGACGTATGATTTCGTATCCAGGTATATATACATCGTTATCGCTTATTGTAGAATTAAGCCATGTCTCATTTATTGTTAGGACATCGATCGGGCTAGTAGCAAGCAAAACTCGCAGCTCATCAATATGATTTACTAGGCTTCTCACATTAAGTGCCGCGAGCTTAAACCCGCGCGAGTTAGGAATAACGGACTGAGTAGGATAAAGTCAATCTGAAATAGTTTTTGCAAAACCTAGTAAGTTTTGTTGTAAAGCTAAACTACCTTGTCTATTTAAATGAAGACCCCTCATATTTAAGTGACTTGCATTCATATTTGAATTACTTAAAAAGGGGATTCTATTGCGACTACAATAGCTTTTAAGAATATTATTAGTTTGAATAGCTGTAGCAGCTAGGTCATTGTACAAATGGTAGATCAGAAAGATATTATTGGTAAATGGTAGATCAGAAAGATATTATTGGTAAATGGTAGATCAGAAAGATATTATTGGCGATTTGTGTTGACTCATGTTAGTAGTTTATAGAAAAGTTAAAGTCATGTGCCAATCAAGTGCCACGATTTTGAAATAAGCTTTCGAAGTTGATATATTTTGAGATGATATCGTTATCTGTTCAGGAGGGTCAATAACTGCGCTGTTTTCTATTTTATACCAAAGAATAATTATGTAAGTCATATCACCAACGAAAATAGAAGGATTAGTCTATATTTCTGAGCAAAAATTTTGAAATTTAGGTATGAATTTGATCTAAAAAATAGCGCTGAAAATATGTCGATATTTTGCCTTCATTCGGAGTTCAAGTTGATTACCAGCCGATCGAACATAAATCGCCCCCAAAAATTATTTAAAGGAAATTTGAGTAAAATGAAATCGATTTTAGTTGTTCCCAAGGATAGATCTTCAAAATACTAGAGTATGAGAGAAATCTATTTTTGAGCCCCATATTGACCTGGAGGTTTTTACGGAGACAGCCTCTTAACGCTTTAAAATTCCCGGAACCAAATTGAAATTAGAACAGAAGTGAAAACATCGGTATCGGTATTGGATGTCGAATTTAAACTCTCTAATATATTAGAGAGGGATAGGAATGGCTGTAGGGCACGGGGTCTGAGGGCATATTTCCCCAGAAAAGTTTTGAAATTTGAAGCCCTGAAATGACATTTCCTGCATTCTGAGCTTTTAAATTTCTCTGAAATTTATGATAAGTATACTTGTATTTGAAATAAAAGAAGGAAAAACACAAAAAAATTATCATTACTTAGTGCCATGTAGAAAAACGTAACAATTTAAGTCGATTTTGTTAAAGAAGGACAAAAAATAAAGACTAAAACGTACTTTTTGTTTATCAATTTGTTATTTTTCGCTGGTTTGTATGTATAAATTTAGGAAAAAGGGACTTTTGCCCTCCCCCCACATGTATGTTAAACAGGGCTGTGATACTGGTCCTCTCATTATTTACACTACATAATGTCTTACACCAGTACTTGTCCAATTACCTATTTTATACAAAAAATATACAACTCCCCGCCCCCCAAAAAAGACTGTATTCAATAAATTAATATTTAAACCATATGTATATTGTGACATGTGCCCAGCGTCTCCCATCACAGGGCTTTTGGGGTAAAACCCTGGATAAGTTGGTTAGGACTCTGCTCATTGTTATTACACCTTGGTTGATCTTGCAAACTATTTTTTCCTCTTTTTTATGTGTGCAAACAATTTATTTGCACTTTTTTGTCTTTGCAAGCAATTTTTTAAATAATTTTTCATCCCTCCCCTCCAAAAAAATAATGGTCCGTCCCTAATATAAAGGCTGTGTCAAATGTAAGCTTTTCTACAAAACTAATGCATCTATATCATACGCATCGTTTTAATTCAAATATTGTGGCAGCAAATTGAAATTTTAAGCCGTTCACATGCTCAAATTCAAGAATGAAGATAGTGAATATTTCCTTTCAAAATTGCTCTATTTATATATAAAATATAACAAAATTCTTACCTGGATGTTGCCCAGTCACCACTGATGTTTAATCTTCGTTAAAAGACATCATTTTCGGTAGTAAAACCTCTGTATTTCGAGCCCAAATTCAAAACAAAAAATTTAAAAATATGGCGGTGTGAATTGTATTTGTCACGCTATCCCAGGAAGCTTTGCGCGTTTTGTACGAAATCTAGGCACCAGTATGACAAACCGCGCTCATCGCGAGAATTTTCGGTGGTGTTTTGTCAAAAAATGATGTTTTGTCAAAATGACAAAATACCTACTTCCACAAAGACTATAACTATTTTTGTAAATATAATGTTAATTACCTCATGAAAATTTTAAAATTAACTGGGAAATTTTGACCAGTTAAATAAATACATTTACCCTTTCTCAAATCTCACAACTTTCTATGAATAGGAAATATATACCTATTTAGGATCTAATTCTGCTATTTATGAACTATTGTGACAATAGCTCTAAAAATAAAAGTAAACATAGTTTAAAAATAGCTATTTAATAGCTATTTGAACAAAGTGCGCCACAACGTTCTATGAATAGGAATTAAATAGCTATTTAAATATTTTTTTGCTATTTAATAACTATTCTAAAAATGGCTCTAAAAATAAAAGCAAACATAGTTTAAAAATAGCTATTTACTAGCTATTTTGAACAAAGTTTGCCACAACTTTCTATGAATAGGAATTAAATAGCTATTTAAGATCTATTTATTTTTCTATTTAATAACTATTTTAAGAATGGCTGCAAAAAAGAGAAGCAAAAATAGTTTAAAAATAGCTATTTAAAACTATTTTAACTGACTCGTTACTTATCAATAGCAATTAAATAGCTATTCAAAAGCCCTTTTATAGCGTGATTCCGTCAATTACTCTTTCAAATAGGACTTGACTCCATATTTCAAAGCTATTTTTTTAAAAAATATAAATAACCGATATTTTAAATAGAGTGTAAATAGTCATACACTATTTTATGAAATTTGATAAATAGTAATAAAATAGTCATATTTTTGAAAAAATAAGGAAAAAATAGGGCTAAATGGAGAAAAAATTGGTCTAAAGTAGGCTATAAATATGTCCGAATCCACAAGGGTTAGTTATACCAAGATCGAGATCCATGCACTTGTGCATTTCAGCATACGTGAAAATTGTGCCTGTGAAAATTCCAGATTAACTAAATGCAAATCAGGCCTAGTGCAATCGTCGCGTTAGTAATAATATAGGTACCGATCGGTCCGGATTTTTGCGGTGGTGGAGGTGTTGAAGTGTGTTGAAGTGTGGTGGAGTGTGGTGGAGTGTGGTGGAGTGTGTTGGAGTGTGGTGGAGTGTGGTGGAGTGTGGTGGAGTGTGGTGGAGTGTGGTGGAGTGTGGTGGAGTGGGGTGGAGTGTGGTGGAGTGTGGTGGAGTGTGGTGGAGTGTGGTGGAGTGTGGTGGAGTGTGGTGGAGTGTGGTGGAGTGTGGTGGAGTGTTGTGGAGTGTGGTGGAGTGTGGTGGAGTGTGGTGGAGTGTGGTGGAGTGTGGTGGAGTGTGGTGGAGTGTGGTGGAGTGTGGTGGAGTGTGGTGGAGTGTGGTGG